CTGGCCTTGTCCTGCCCTCCCTCCCCCAACGGTGCGCCAGGGTCACTGCTTTGCCACTGCATCTGGTCCTGCACTGCGCTGCTCATCTTTCTCATGCCAGGGGCACTGCCCTCCCACTGCATCTGGCCTGGTCCTGCCCCGCCCACCCCCCCCAGCCGTGTGCCAGGGTCACTGCTCTGCCACTGGATCTGGTCCTGCACTGCACTGCCCACCTGCCTCATTCCAGGGGCACTGCCCTCCCACTGCATCTGGACCTGCCTTGCACCCTCCCCCTGCCCCGTGCCAGGGGCACTGCCCTCCTACTGCATCTGGCTTTGTCCTGCACTCTCCCCCACAGCTGTGTGCCAGGGTCACTGCTCTACCACTGCATTTGACCGTGCACTGCACCCTTATCTGCATCTGACCATGCACTGCATCTCCAACTAGCCCCGTGCTGGGTTCACTGCCCTCCCACTGCATCTGGCCTGGTCCTGCCCCGCCCCCCCCAGCCGTGTGCCAGGGTCACTGCTCTGCCACTGGATCTGGTCCTGCACTGCACTGCCCACCTGCCTCATTCCAGGGGCACTGCCCTCCCACTGCATCTGGCTTTGTCCTGCACTCTCCCCCACAGCCATGTGCCAGGGTCACTGCTCTACCACTGCATCTGACCATGCACTGCATCTCCAACTAGCCCCGTGCTGGGTTCACTGCCCTGCCACTGCATCTGGACCTGCCCTGCACCCTCCCCTTGCCCCGTGCCAGGGGCATTGCCCTGCTACTGCATCTGGCTCTGTCCTGCAATCCCCACTGGGTGTGTGCCTGGGGCACTGCTGTACCACTGTATCTTACCAAGCACTGCACTGCCTACCCCAGCCCAGAGCTGAGACACCCTCCTCACATATGCAGCTCTTGTAATGTACCTTAGTCCTCACCTATGTACTATCATATTCCCTTGGTTCTTCACTCAGCAACACTGAGGTATTTGCACCCTGATCTGTATCCTCCGCCCCCCCCCCCACTATTCCAGCCCTTCCTACCCCAGTTTGTTTAATGCACTTTACCAAGCCCAGTACAGTACAACTCCTCTTCCCCTTGCTATCCAGCCCTACATTGCTCCTCTATCCTGACTTACAGGACCCAGCTGCTTTTTCGGTCCTGAGGCCATACACAGCTCTGATGAGACATCTTAATTGTGACTGGCAATTTCCAATCCAAACTGCATATTGGTTCATATGGAAACATCTCTATTATCATTGTTGTTTTGTTGGTTGCTGTTTATTTATAAAGTACCATACATCTACACCCCTTAGAACCGCTCCTCTACCTAAAATCAGATGACCAGCTGGCTGTTTTGTTTCTGAAGTCATTATAAATCCAAGAGACATTACCTCTGCCATGCTGGTTGTGAGCCTAGCCTGGCTGATACCATCTCTCTGTCTATTCATTTAAGCACATGGCATTACCATGCCAAGCATTTCAGGATCTTTATCAGCACCAGAGACGGCATGCATGGAAAGAAAGGAGATTTTTACTTTTTAATTTGCCCTATTCTCCTTCCCATTTCCCCCTTGCCCAACACACACACATTCGCTAGTTTCAACCAAATCATGACTCCACAGACAGGGATGATGCAAACTTTGGTGCCCCCTCATGGTTCCAGATTGAATATCGGCTATGATGCAAGATGTTTGTAGTATTTAGTCAACATTCTCACCTGGGGAAGGAATAGATGACAGCGGTGGATGGAAACATTTCCCTGATGGATTGTATTTTCTAATGGACAACCTATCCTAAATTCTCAATTACTGCAGGACAATCTTCACTCATTCATATATTTGCTTTCCACAACCAACTCCCTGTATAACTTTCCATGAGTGATGTACCCGAATGCTTGGCTGCTAATATCTAAATTATATCATTAAATGTATTAATCGTATTTGGGTTATTGCTGATTGTGTACTATATATATTGTATTACTTTTAAACCAACCTTTGTACTTTTGAATAGAGGCACTGTCTCATGCAGTGACCAAGATGCAACAATAGGTAGAGAACTATATGGCTCCTGATAAATGAATTAACATCGGGAACTTCCGGGCGACCATGTTCAAGAGTGTAGAAGCTCATGGTGCCAGCACAGGACTCACTGGGAAAAGGAGCTCAGGGAAGATGTTGGGGAGTGGCTGCTTGCAGCCAAATTTTCACACACAGCCTCTAAGTTTAGGTGACTAATTTTGGGTGCCTAATCTGAGACATCTTGGGTCTGAGCTGTAGAGGGGCTGAGCCTTTACAACCCACAGTCATTTGAGTCGGAGCTGTGGGTACTCATCAAAACTGGAGTCCAGGAGGTATCGCACATTGGGCATTCCAAATCAGAGGCCATTACTGAAAATGTTGGCTTTACCCTGTACTATGTATGGACCTTTAGCCCCCAACTCTGAGCTGCATGCAGCTTTAGCTAAGTCTCAAATTTTTAAAGCAAAAGGCAAACAAAACAAATCCTAGCCTCATGTCCTAGGAACAGATTATCTATCTATCTATCTATCTATCTATCTATCTATCTATCTATCTATCTATCCCAACAACACAGTATCCAGATGCCATATACACAACTCAGAGGTACAGCAAAGGATCAGACTTTCACCCCTTCCTTGTTTTATGCCACTTTCACAAGTGCATCTCCTCCCTTTTCTATTTCCCCCTCCCTCTAATGAGTTGAGAGTCCTTTTGTTGCAGGGTTGTGGCATGATTTTGCTATGTAGCCAGGTGCTTTATTTGTCTGGCTGGTTTTTTAGGTTTGAAATGCTTTGTATTTGCTCTTCATTGCACGGCATTTATAGACCCATCACGGCAGGCACCCTGCGAATAGACAGCAGTAGTTGCAACTCTATTTTAACTTCCTTCTTGGTATCTCTTTTCTGTCTCATGTCAGGTTTACAGGGCATGCGTGGGCAGAATAGGAGCTTGGAAGCAGTGAGCACAGGTATATGATGTATGTGGGCGAAGGTGAGATGAAGACTTTGATCATCAGAGTTTGTAGATCTGACATACGGGCTGTGGTACCCCCAACAATAAGCTCTGACCTTTTGCATTCTTGCCAGCCCCAGAAATCTTCCTAGCTCTGAACATAGCCCACCAACGATGAAAGATCTCAGCACTTTTAACTCAGTACCACCCAGCCTGCCTGTGCCTACAATCCTTGCCTCAACTGACACAGAGAGTAGTTCCCTTCCACCAGTTTATCTCCTTTCCCTATACTTTCTTCCTGGAAAATTCTCCAAAGAATAGAGCAGCCCCACATCCAGCTGTCTTTCCTTCTTGAAAGCGCTCTATGATCACTCAAACTGCCCAAATGACCTTGATCTGGGGCCAGCAGGAACTTGAAAAGGAATCTGGGAAAGTCAAAGCAAAGTGAAGGGCAAGTAAATTTCCCCTTTGATCTGAGCAGCTCAGCAGGAAGGAGTCTGGCCTCAATTATCAAGTCGCATTCCAAACAAAAGCTAGAATGGAGGCCAGGGGCTGAACGCACAGTGCTGCCTCCAGGAAAGGAAGAACAGCTGCTTGCTAGACTCCGTCAGGCAAGCTGTCACAGTCACACCTGCTGTCTCTGAGGGTGCCACCTGCACAACTGATCAGCAGAGATAAATACAAGCGGAGGGAGGATTTTTCTCCCTTCCCCGCAGGGATTGTGCTGGGCTGTGTTTGGAGGTGGAAGGTCCAGGATTGCTCTGTGGCTGCATACAGCAGTGAATCAACCTTGGGCTTAGCATCTGCGAAGACAAGATAGGCTATGGAGACTCCTGGGGCTGGGGGAGATCTCAGAAAAGTAGGGACAGCTGAGAAAGGAAGAATCAATGAGGAAGGGAGGTTGGAGAAAAGAAAGGAAACAGGTTGCCCTTATGCACAGGGAATAATACTTTGTGCCAGGAATAGCCCCTATAGAGCCAGTGACACTGCTTGTGGAGTAAGGTACTAATCAGTGTGGTAGTGAATCACAATCAGGCCATAGGGAGTGTGAGGGAGAGGGAAGGGATCCGAAGGAAAGAGAGGGGGGTGAGAGGAGGAAAGATAAAGGGAGGAGACAGAAAGAGAAAACCCCACTGCTTCTTTAAAATACTCCAGTGTTTCACCAACCGCACTCTGTCACTAATGCAAGAGCTGAGGCCTAGTCCTGATCTCCCTTACACCAGTGTAACTCCCTTGATCCCAATGGTACTGCTCCTGATTTATACCAGAATGAGACAGGTTGGAGACTTGTAGGGTTTGGGAGCTTACAGGAGAATGCGGTAATACTTTTAGGGTCTGGCTACACTTGGAGCTGGGGGTGTGATTCCCAGCTCAAGGAGACACACTTGTGTGAGCTCTCATCCGGCTAGAACGCTAACAACAGAGGGTAGCTATAGCAGCATGGGCGGCAGGATGGATTAGCTGCCCTGAGTACATCCCCAGCCCAGCACCTAGGCATGTACTTAGGGCAGCTAGCCCATCCCGCCGCTCATGCCACGTTGGCTACACTCTCTTTTCAGCGTGCTAGCTCAATCAGAGCTAGCGTGAGCATGTCTCCTTAGGCTGGGAATTGTGCCCCCAGCTCCAAGGGTAGGCGTACCTTTACAGAGAACCTTTAGGGGAAAGTCCCATAGAACTGGATAGATCACCTTTCTATAGGTGTTGTGAATCCCTCCGCTAGGACTGAATAGCGAATTCTGTCCCTGCTATAGAAGTCTATAGGATGGCTGAAAAACCTGGACAAAGTCTACAAGGAGCTTTATCTCTATATAGCTCTTATTGCCATATATAGATAAAGAGGACGACAGGATAAGAGTGAGGGTGAAAGAGCAAAAAGATAAATGCAGAGTACTGGAGAGGAGGAGAGACCGAGGAGAAAGCAGGCCTTTCCATGTGCTTCCTGCAGCCGACTACAAAGACAAGGCAAGATCCTTTTGCATTTATCTCCCTTTGCAATGCAACTCTTAATGGGAAGCATCTGTGGGACACAGATGGTCTCCGGAGGAGCCCAGCCAGGGCTGGATTGGATCCCTCCAAAGACATCCTCTTTCCTCTTGTCCTCTGTCCTGTCTGTTGATTGAAACCAGAGCCTGCCTGCCATGGGGGTGTGAGAAGAGGGCGGGGAGAGGAGGGCAGCTCATGCTGCTGGAGTTATTAGTGTTCAGCTCTGAGTGAAAACAAGAGGATCGGGACATGGGGCTCCATCTGCACCCAGCTCACGCTTCCAAATGGGTCAGAGGAGACGTAGTGCCCTGTTCCTTGCAGGGAAGAAGAGACTCCCAGAGATAGTCTGCAGGATGTTGCTACTGCTGGTGATGGGTCTGGCTTGGTCCTTCCATGGAGCCTCCTGCTTGCCACATCCCACCGGACTCACATGGGCAGAAGAGGGTGCAGAAGGGCAGTGCCAGTGTGTGCCACAGCTGTGCCCTAGAGCCACAGCCTGCCCAGCAGGCTTGGTGCGTGACCACTGCGGCTGCTGCCTGGAATGCGGGAATGCCGAGGGGCAGCCCTGCGACCTGGATGGCAGTGGCACCTTCTATGGGAGGTGCGGAGAGCACCTGGAGTGCCAGCTGGACATCCAGGAGCTAGGCTATGGGGGGATCCCCAAGCCGCAATGTGTGTGCAGGTCCCAGGGGGCCGTGTGTGGCTCTGATCACATCACCTACCAGAACATCTGCAAGTTCCAGGAGGCCGTGCGTGAGAGAGAGAAGTGGAACCTCAGCATCACCAGTGATGGGCCCTGCCAAGCAGGTAATGGCCCACCTCCTTGTTTGCCCTCTGCTGCTTGGGGAGAGACTGGGAGGGGGAAGGTGTCCCAGGGATAGATGAGGGATCCAGACACTTTTCTAGCATACCTGGGGTGAGGTGAAGAACGACACAGGAGTTATCTAATCCTCCAAGCCATGGCCAGATTCAATTGGCCAGGTGTCTATCATTGGACCGCTTGGATGGCTGGGAGGGCCCTTCAGGGATGTCTTTAGCATTCTGGGCCTCTCAGCAAGGCTGTTATTGGGCAGGTGGAGCCTCTCAATCTCTCCTTCTGCCAGCAAACTCTTTCACCTCCTTCCTTGATCAATCCGCACAAGAGATCAGGGGACTTTAGTGTCCTAAAGGGCTTTCAGAGCTGTCCTGCAAATCAGGTTTCCTTGTGTGCTGGGCTCCCCTGTGAGCTAGCTCCCCAACCCCCTCCCAGGCGTGCCTTAAAAGCCAGAGCCGGATTCCTTCAGGTGCTGATGTATAATGAAAGGAGGTTGGGCAGAGAGAATATTCAGGTGCATGTGTACATGAAAATCGAACACATCCATTCACTATCCCATGCACAGGCAGCTGCACTCCAGTTATGATTTATGTATGTACCATGTGTGTGTACCGTATATATGGTCCATATGTATTGTTTGTATATCTATCTATCTATCTATCTATCTATCTATCTATCTAGTATGCAAGTACCATATGGATATATGTACACAGTGTCTTATGTGCCATGTTATTGTATATGTGCATGTACCATAGGTATATTGTATTAGTACTATATGTATGTTCCATATGTGAATGTATGTACTGTGTATATCTGTATGTACCATAAGTAGATAACATACATATGTACTGTACATAAGTATATGGGGTCAGATCATCAGCTGAGATAAGTTATTGGAGAGGTGCTGATTTACCCCAGCTGGGGATATGGCACTTTAAAATGTGGTTATGTATACGCCACATGTGTATTTGCTCCATATGTATTGTATGTATCATATGTGGGGGTTAGGGACAGAAGGCCCAACTGCAACCCTTACTCACACCAACACTAGCCCTTACTCATGCAAGTTTTCCCACTGACTTCCCTGGGGCTACTTCTGTGTGTAAGAGTTGCCTGTAGCACAGGGATCCTTTGGGATAAAAGGCTCTAGAGAAATGCAAGCTAATGGTAGTGATTATTATTAATGGCTAGAGATGGGCCAAAAGCCAAATCGCAGATCTGATCGCTCCCAGATTTCAGGGAAATTACAACCTGGATCCGAATCCGAACTCTGTGGCTCAGACCCATCAATGACACCTAAAATCAACAATGAATTCAGTGTATTTCTCACATTGTCTGTTTTCTCTGATACGGTGGGCTGGGATCAGGCAGAGGGCGTGGTTCATTGCCGCACTCATTACAATATAAGGTGACTTGTGTTATCTCCTAGCCATGTAGACTGACCAGGCAGAGTGAGTGGTTAAATAGGATAGGAGTAGCTGCTGCTTAATAAGATGCTTTGATTGTTTAAATCTCTGCCAGGCTTCCTGCAGCAGCCTGTATGATTCTGGTTAGGGGAGGTTCATTTCTGTCTGGTGATGGAGGCGGGTTAGGTTCTGACCTCCTGAGCTTCTACAATCCTCGGCCTTTTGTCTGGATTCTGTGCAGTTCCCCAGATCAAGCACCATCCCCAAGACCAGGTAAACATGTCGGGCCATGATGTGATCTTCATGTGTGAGGTCTTTGCCTACCCCATGGCCCTCGTGGAATGGAGGAAGGATGAAGAAGAATTTGCTCTACCTGGAGATGATCCTCACATCTCCATCCAGGTGAGTGACACAGTCACAGCCCCACCTAGGCAAAGGGTCCCCCAGCTCCGCTCCACCCAGGTGAGGGTCCTTGAGGCAGCTCCATGCAGGTGAATGACCCTGACTCAGCTCCGCTCAGGTGAATGATCCCAACTCAGCTCAGCCCTCGTGAATGACCCTGACATGCACCTCTGCCCAGGTGCATCACACACTTATCTCCATCTCGGTGAGTCTCCTCCACGCTCGGTGAGAGCTGGAGGCCCTCTGGATGTGTGCATTTTCCTGAACGGCCCAGCTTGGCAATCGACTGTGGGACTCATTTGCCCTATCTCTCTTCCTGCTCTCAGTCCAGGGGTGGCCCTTTGAAATACGAGCTGTCCAGCTGGCTGCAGATTGAAGGGGTGAGGAAGGCGGATGGAGGCACCTACTTCTGCATTGCACACAACAAGCTGGGCAATGCCACTGCCAAAGCTACTCTTCTTGTCGCCAGTGCAGGTACCCTGTGTCCCTGCTCACTTTGTGTGCGTGCAAGGAAACAGTCTCACGCTCTCAGTATGAGGCCTCCTGAAGGGCCCAAGCTCCATCCTTGACCCAAAGAATCAAAGGCTGCAATGAAATGTTGGTTGTCATGGCTTCGTATGCCAGGGCAAGTTTAGGCTGCCCTCAGTTACACCCGGGCAGCTCAGCTGACTTCAACTGAGTTGCATCCGTGTAACCATCGGGCAGGAGATCTGATATATTCCCTGGAAAACACCATGTTACGCCGGCAGAGTTGGTGGAGAGGGGAGGGGTAGACACAGGGAGAAAGGAGGAGGGGGAGCGAGATGAAGGCAATCAGGGATAAAGGGAAGGGGGACAGAAAGAGGGAGAAAGGGAGGTTGGGAGGGAGGGAAGGAGGCCTTTTGCAATGAAATCCTTGGCTCTGTCCCCATTTTTAGGGGAAACTGGAGGTGAAATAATAAGATCTGAGGCTGGGCCCCTGTCCCACTCATTCCAGAGGAAGAGAGGTGGAGGGGGAGAGAGATTCGGGATGTGCCAGCCCATGTGCAGACAGTCTGCAGAGCTCCCCTGTGAGCCAGAGGCAGGGGCTAGTCTCATGTCCACTGCATGGCATTCAGTGGGGAAAGGCCTGGGTCAGAAACACCCTCCCAAGATGCTACGCTATGGGCAGAGGCAGAAACTGGAACAATTGCTACAGAGTCCACCTGGGCTTCTCTTATCCCTTTCACTGATCCTGCCTCTCCCTTTCCTTTATCCCTCTTTCCCGCCCTGTGTGTCCTGCTGCAGAAGCTGCTCCCCCTTCCCTGTTTAGCTCCCCAGTGAACCCAGGAGAAGAGGCTCCCACAGCCAGCGAGGAAGAGGAGGATTACTCTGATTATTACTAATGTGGTGCCATCCCTGCCCCCGGCTAACTGACCCTGCTGCAGAAATCAGAATGGGCCGCGTCAAGACAGGGGAAGCAAATGAGCCTGGAGGGCAGGGCTTTTCCAGCTTCCTCTGGCTGGTGCTGAGATGTCCTGGATCCTGTGATGCCAACAGCCATGGGCCAGGTCTCTCATGAAGGACATTAGGATATGGGCAAGAAGCTCCAAAGCTGACTCTCCTGCCACTGGCTTGCCTGGGGAATGGGTAAACAGACTCCTGAGGGTTAGGAAGTGCCCCTACCTAGCATGCCTTAACCCCGTACCCTTCATTCAGGCAGTGGTGTTCAAAGAGATCAAAGGGGCCATTTGACTGAAGGAGCCAAATGGACATTGACTAGATGCACTTACTGCTACTGAACGCTGCAGTAACACAGCTGTCCTCTAGAGAACCCTGGAGAGCTACTGCGCAATGTGGTGAGGAGTGAAATTCCACTCTGTGTAGTGGGGTCAACACAAAGCCTGGGCATCGCTTCAGTCTCACTTAGTCCCTGCTGTGCAAAGGGCCAGCACGAGGGCTGTGCTTAAGAGAAGCACAGGCTTTCTCTCACCTTCTGTACACAGGTAAATGTCACTCAGGGCCTTCATTTTAATGCTCCACATTCTGCTGGGGAGCAGGGGAGTGCTGCTGAGGTTACAGTTGTAAAGATGCTCCAGTGCTCCAGGGATGGTAAGGGCTAGGTTGTAGGGGAACAAAAAATGATGTGCGTGCAGTGCTGGGGAGCACAGTTGGCAAGATTTCCCTCTAAGCTAGCCAGGGGGAGACGGGGGAGAAGATCAGAGCTGGATGCATTTCAGGGAAACCTTAGGCAGGTGCACAAGTTCTCTGCACCCCCCTGCAGTGCATCGGAAGCAGGACTGTACCCAAGCCTGTCCCAGCGGCTGCAGGATCCTAATGCAGCCTGGGCTCTCCTCTTGCCAGAGGATGCAGAGGGTGGAAGGGATGGGGGTGGGAGCAAGGGAACAGAACAGACTGGAGAGTGGAGCACCTAGTTGAAAGGGGGCTGTATCTGGTTTGCAAGCACTCAAGGAAAGAAAATGATTAGCTGTGAAAGATGCTTCCTATGAGACCTGTAACGGTTTATATCCTATTTGCAGCGAGGGTATAAATAACAGCCTGTTTCCGGGTAGAGAAGAGCCTGGGTCTCATGTATATTTTAAATGATTCCAAAGAATTTCATTCCTAGTTATGTCCAGCTGGTGAGGGAATGTGATCTCCTGTGGATTCTTGCAATGATAACACTTTGCCTGGCTCTGGTGCCTTCCATCAGGGCCCATTGCAAACATTAGCTGATTAGCCTTCAGCCTCATATCATTATCTTCATTTTACAGATGGGGAAACTGAGTTACAGGGAGGGCAAGTAAGTGACTTGCCCAAGGTCATGCAGTCATGAGCAGAGAGGCATTAGTCCCCCTCTGTGGGCCAGGTTTCATTGTCAGAAAAGCTTGCCCTTTAATTAGGTGCTTAAGCAGGAGCTGAAGCTCTTCTGAAAACCTGGACCCAGCTGTGGATGCTGAGGCTTGCTGCAAGTTCTGGCGTCTGATGTCTCTGGGGTAACCACATCTGGAATATCATGTTCAGTCCTGGGCACCACATTCCCAGATGCACATTGACAGACTGGAAGGAGTTCAGAGAAGAATGACAAGGATGATCAAGGAGGTGAGGAAAGATTAAAAGAGCTAAATCCATCTGGTTTAGCTAAGCAATGACTGAAAGGGGACGTGGTAACAGCCTGTCACTATCGGAAGGCTGTGAACTCCAAGAAAGGAGAAGGGTTATTTATGGTCATTCGGGATTAACTAGGAGGAATGGGATAACAGTTATTATTTGTTTTGCAGTAGCCTGAGAACCCGCAGTCCCATTGTATATAGCAAAGAGACAGTCCCTGCCTCAAAGAGCTTGGAATGCAAGTAATGGTACTAGGAAAGGGACTATCAGGACAGCCTTCCCGATGGTGAGATCCGTAAGGTGATTTGGGAACTCCATCACTTGGGATATTTAGGACTAAACTCTAGAAAACAGGCAATAGGGAAGAATCCTGCATAGGTCTCTTCTATGAACCCAGGAGTCCTGGGTCCCAGTTCCCTGCTCTAACTGCGAGAGCATGTGAATGCTCGCTTGCCAAAGGTCTTTGCAGTAAATCCCCTGTATAATATTAGGACGGGCACAAGGTGCTCCCACACGAGTACTTCTTGGGCAATCACGGCCCCTTCCACGTTCTTGGGGAAGAGGGTGTGTTGATGTGAATTACAGCCTGGTACCCCCCCTGAAAAGCCCCAGATCTGAAATGTCCATTGCAAAGACCCTTGCACTGGTCTGAACTCATTGGAATCTCTGGATAACACTTCCCCATCCCAGGCGCCATCTCCTCTTTCCCCAGTCCTTCATCCCAACTCAGGACCCCCCCAGGCAGAACAGGAGCAGGTATGCTGCCTGCTGCTGTGCCTCATGGAGGAAGCTCTGGAAGGATGGCAGCAAATCGAGATTATGGCCCTTGTGTGACCCACAGCTGGGCTTAAAGGGACAGTGGTCTAGGATGGGCACTTACTTTCCCTCTCCCACCCATGATTGCTCCCCAAGACCGTTTCCCTCTTGCCCAATGGCGACTTCTGTTATTCCAAACACCTGGAACAGAGTAACTGGCCTGTCACACGACTTTCAAGTGCCAGTGCCCCATTTCAGCAGGGATTATATTTTTCTGTAGACCGAGCACATCATGCAAAAATTATTATAATTATTATTAGAAATAAAGTGATTGAAATAATAAAATACGATCGGTTTAATTTCATTTAGCTTAACTACAAATGGGCCGAACAGCTACCCTCGAGCCAAACTTGCCGAAATGTTAGAGACGATCTGGATCTGCAGGCTGCAGTGGACCCAACGTGGACACTGGATTCACATGTCCCCAAATTTTGGGAAAGCTCAGATTTGGATCTGTAACTGAGCTTGGGGATTCAGGCCTGATGGTGATGGTCTCTCATCCCGCGGCCCGATCTGTGTTTCAAGTTAAAATGAAATATGCCAAAGAAGCATCAGGTCTGCAGTGCAAGTCCTTCCCTCCACCCCAGCAAATAGCAAATTGGAAAGTTCAGTATTCAGGTTGCCCTGTGTCCCAGTGAAGGGAGTATAGATCTGATATTCTTGGGATTTAGCAATATACTGATGAAGCGGTTCCAGTCTGATAGTCTCTGGGTAGCCATCCGGATGTTGAGGGAATGTGGACCACATACTTCCCAGCTTCCCATGCTCCCAGAGAATCAGTGTGGCTCAGAAATATTACAGATGCCCCCAGTGTGGTTGAAACAACATGGAACCAGATATATTCACCTGATGCCTAATGTGCCAATGCAATGGCATGGGATGAGCATACCTCAGCTGTCCAATCTGCCAGCAAAAGCATACTGCTCAGATAGCATCTGGCTGTGTAATCTGCTAACAAGATGGTACAAATCTTCAGTCCCCCAGGTGCCCAGCAGGGGGAAGAGATTCCGCTCAGATATTCCTAGGATGCTCAATATGCCAGGGAAGGGATGCAGGTTGGATAGTCCACAGACACCTGGAATGTCATGGCTCTGATATCTCTGGATGAGCCATCTGGTGAAGTATGGATCCTATTCATCGGGTGCTCGGTATACTAGCGAAATGATGGAAAGAGAAACAGCATCTCTGAGCATCACTCTAAATAAACCAAAGTGCCTTCAGCGTGCTTTCTCCAAGCGGAGTTATTTCAGTGTCAGTTTTCTTGTCCCTGTAAAATACAGCGCCTCTGGAATTTGTTTGCAGAAACAAAGCTGTGTGTATGGGGGCTGCATGGAATAATCATTGGGGCATCTTCAGATGGAAGTCCTGAGCAGTTATGGCTGTTAAAGATCCCATGGCACTTTCCCTAAGAGTCATGGAGCCAGACTTTGATCTCAGTTATACCAGGGCAAATACAGAATAGCTCCACTGAAGTTGATGGAGCCATTCCAGTTTTACACTGATGTAACTGAAATCAGAATCTGGCCTTTTGCATTAACCCTGGTGTCCTGACCAAATCTGTTATTCTATTCTGCCTCCTTAAATCCCCCAGGCGGTTTCAACTGGGTTTGGGATTCTTCTTCACTTGCTGTCCTAAATTTCTGTGCAATGATGCCATATTGCATAGCTGCTGCCTCCTGCCCCAGAGGTGGCTATGTTTCAGTGGGATGGGGGTGGGTGGTGGGTGAAGTGATTCTTGGACATCTTGTTTGCAATGTATTATAGGTTACTTACGGGTGAAAGATGCTATATAACATTATGCAGCATTATTGTCAGTCTCGTTAGAGACCTGTCCCCTTGATTGGCGCCATATCCAAAAACTTAACTGCCTGCCACAACACCACCTATGCAGCATAATGGGAATCAAATGACCCGACAAAATCACCAACAATGAAGTACTATGCCAGCGCGGCGGCAAATGACTTGGGTCAGAACAATCGACTGCCTAAGAGAGTTCTGTACAGTGCATTTGAAAAAGGCAGTAAGAAGATTGGCCACCCCAAACTCTGCTGCAAGGATTGCATCAAGCAGCACATCCAGTCTGCCAGGCTGGACTTAGTGACCTGGGA